CGAGAATGCAGTCCGCAGACCGCCATCGCAGATCGGCCATCGATTCTCGTCTGCAAACGTTTGATCGGTGCGCGCCGGCCGCTTGTGTTTCGAAAGAGTAAGGGATTATGGTCAGGATACAGCAACGTTGTGTGAAACACATAGGGGGGAGGGGGTCGTACTTTTCCGCTGAGAGTGGGGAATCGTACTTGAACGTAAACGTAGTATATAGCTGCCGCAATGTTACACGCAAACCGTAAGCGGTTACTTGCCTTGAACGAAACTTGATTCGGGGTTCGATCCGATGAGTGCGTAGGAGTCCTATCTCTTGCAAGTACCTCTTTACAAGTATGCACCCAGAGAGAGTGAAGAATGATCAAACCAGTTATGAATCTCTGCCCTCAAATTAAGATCTGACAAAGGGCCTGCTTCGCACTTAAGGGCAGGGGGGGGCGGGGGAATGGATGCTAGTTCGTCGATTTCTTCAGTTTCCTCGCCAACCCTGAGACCCGTAAACTCTTGCAAAGCTATAAAATGGAGCAAGGTTCGCCGAGACACTCTGATTAGAAATCAAAACCCTTGTGAATTTACAAATTGCTATGAGCATACGGCGCCATTCTTTCCCACAGCTGCGGCTGTGTGCCGTTGCGTACACTGCGGAGCTACAGTAAGCTCACGCCTAGTTTTATTCAATGTCGAGGAAAGATCTCATGGGAGATGCGACTATATTTGAGCGCAGTGGGATGCAGGTGTTCCGATACCTTCCTTTTCGTCACCACTCTCACATTCAATCGCACCACGAAGGGCCAGGATACCAGCGACTACTATCTGGTTATCTGATCACAATATATGTGAAAAGATAGCGGTTGTGTAATAGAGTACTTGTACATACTGCGATTGCGCCATAGTCCATCATTGATTGCAGCTTCTTATTTTTGTGGCGGACTGGAATAAGAGATTTTCCATAAAACTCAAATAACATATCCTCAGCAAAAACTTTCTGAGTTACGACAGTCAGGCGCGCTAAAATGGAGCCTAAAAGTCGCGGATGACGATCACCCATCAACATGGAAAGACTTATATCTTTCTGGGAACGGTCGAACATGTCCTCTGAAGTTACTGCGCGCTTTCTTTATCACCGTCTTTGCTCACTCTGTCTCGGACTTGATCTCAACTCACTCTCTAGACCAGCGATTTGACAAGTGCCTGACTATGATGATCACGGCGAGAGGCGAAAGCGTACGGCTGGATAAACCGGGGACTTGCCACGCTCCCCAAACAATATGGAACGTGGAGAAACCGTGGGAGCAATCCTTGGTTGGGAGTAGTGAATGTATATTCATGTAGTCACTCATCACTCGATGCTTTACTCCATTTTATGTAACTTTTTTCAAGGAAGGACCTCTGTAGGCTGACACCTGTTATACTTGAAGAGTTAGTCCTGCTACTGTTGTGCTACTCGTTAAAGCATCGAGGCTCCTTTAAATTTTTCTACTTCTAAAGTTTTATTTTTGTGCGCATGTAACTACGCATATAGGTATCTTTTCGCTTGAGCTGGCCGCTTCCCCTCAAAACATCCATGAGGCTACTGCACAGGAAGATTCTAGGACTGAAATACTCGTAGATGTCACTCTTCAATCATAATCACCAAAATTCATTGAGATGCTACGTCCTGACGAGTAATGGAACTAGGCGTGAGGAATACTTCTAGCTCCGCAGTGTACCGCAATATGGGCCACAGCGAGCTGTGCAAAGAATGCCATAGCATTACCATGCGTGCAGCTCATACTCTTTACACGAGTTTCCTGTTTTTCAGCCGCAGTTGGCGAGGAGGGCGGGATTGCGGCGTGGGGGGGGGGATTTTACACTTGTACATTCTTTCAACCTGTCCGGACCATCTAGACAACTATTTCAATTCAATAGTTTCAGCTCCAATCTCACGCAAGTTTCGCCAGAGTGATAAATCATGATATCAGGAACTAGAGAAGCGGTCGAACATTGCATAATGTGCCTCTACCCTCTGTTGAACAGCTCGCCGTTCTTGTCACACGATAGTCTCTACACAACTTCGCATGGACAGCCATTTCTTTGTTTCACAGGGGTTACATGACCCACGTCCGATCGAGAACAGCAAATGCCCAATCATTCAACCGAACTGCTCCCAAACGCTTCAAAAAGAACGCCGAATACACACTATAACCTGCTACATCGTATCTTATTCCGATTCAAAATTCTATCATATCCCAACGTTCCCCACGCCCCTTTGGAAAAAAAAACTATTCGTGCTTCCACACGTTCCACATGGAAAAACTATTTCGGTGTTCTTTTTATTCACACTGTTCCACATTTATCTTACCCTGGTAATGTACATGTGTAAACGCAACCTTGGGTAAGCAGGCGGTTACTTGCCTTGAACGAAACTTGATTCGGGGTTCGATCCGATGAGTGCGTAGGAGTCCTATCTCTTGCAAGTACCTCTTTACAAGTATGCACCCACCCCGCGCCAGTGAAGAATGATCACCTCAGTTATGATATCCTATGCCCATCAGAAATAGAATTGCTGGACAAAAGGGCGCTGTTCGCACTTAAAGGGCAAGGGGAAAGGGGGGGGGGAATGCCGCTCGGCCTAGTTCGTGCGATTTCTTCAGTTTCCTCGCCAACCCGGCTGAGAACTCCGTAAACTCTTGCAAAGCTATAAAATGGAGCAAGGTTCGCCGAAACATTCTGATTAGAAAACAAAACCCTTGTGAATTTACAAATTGCTATGAGCATCGGCGACATTCTTTCGCGCACAGCAATGCGGCTTGTGTGACGTTTTTGCGTACACTGCGGAGCTACAGTAAGCTCACGCCTAGTTTTATTCAATGTCGAGGAAAGATCTCATGGGAGATGCGACTATATTTGAGCGCAGTGGGATGCAGGTGTTCCGATACCTTCCTTTTCGTCACCACTCGTCGCCCTCACAATTCAAGGAGCACGAAGGCCAGAATAGCGGGACTCTTGATCTGTCTGATTTGCTGGTCTGAATGAGTAATGTAAGTGAATAGCGGCTTGTGTGGAATAGGAGTACCTCTGTAACTATACTGGCGATTGCGGCCATAGTCGTCATCATTGATTGCAGGCTTTGCTTATTGTTTGTGGCGGCAACTGGAACATGAGGAGCATTTTGCATCAAACTCAATGAACGATATCCTCAGCAAAACTTTCGAGTGTACGAAAGCTCAGGGCCGGGCGCAAAAATGGGAAGCGCCTTAAAGTTATCGCCGAGAGGAGCGGATCTCACCATCACATGGAAACCCGGGCGGCGGTATATCTCTTCTTCGGACGGTAAACATGGCCCTGTAATAGTTACCTGCGCTTCTCTTATCACCTGTTTTCTACAATCTCTGTCTCGCAACTGTTGTCGACTCACTCCCTCTAGACCGAAGAGCCGGATTTGATCAACGGTGCCTGACTATGGAGGTCGATCACGGCGAGAAGCGAAAAGCGTACGGCTGATCACCAGGCGGACTGTGCCCACGCTCGCCCATCAACAATATGAACCGTGGAGAAAACGTGGGGAGCAATGCCGTTCCGTTGGGCAGTGAGTTGAAGTGTATATTCATGTAGCTCACTCATCACTCGATGGCCTGCTTACTCCCATTTATGAAACTTTTTTCAAGAAGGACCTTTTCTGTAGGGGGCTGACACCCCAGTGTTATCCTTGGACAAGTTTAGTTCTGCGTACCTGTTGTGCTACTGGTGAGGTCAGATAGCCATCGAGCAGGAGCTCCATTGGGGTTAAATTTTCATACTAGTGTCGTAATTGCGGTGGGCTTATTGGGATTACTTTTGGTTGTGCGCATAGTAAACATACGCGATACTGAGGGGTATGTTTGGTATAATCTGGCTGGCGCGTTACCTCCCGTCGAAAGAGGAGCGAGTCTCTCACCATGAAGGCTGATCCTGGCAGCAAGGAGATAGGATATCTGCAGGCTATGGGGAGGGAGGGACTGGAAATACTCGTAGATGTCACTCCTCAATCATAATCCACCAAAGTGTGGGCACTCCTATGAAGGAGTGCTGCAAGTCCGTGACGGAGTTCAATAGGAACTAGGCGTGAGGTTAACTCTAGCCTCCGCAGTGTACCGCAAATGGGCCACAGCCGAGCTGTGCAAAAGAATGGCGCATGAGCATGCACCATGCTGTGCAGCGAATCAGCTCTTTACACGAGTTTCCTGTTTTTTCAGCCGCAGTTCGGGCGCAGAGGGGCGGGAGTGCGGGTGGGGGGGCGGGGGGATTTTACACTTGGTGCTAACTTCTTTAACACTGTTCGAGCCATCTAGACAACTATTTCATGTCAATAGTTCGCTCCCATCTCATACAAAGTTTCGCCAGAGTGAGAATCATGAATCGGAACTAGAGAAGCGGGGAAAGTGCAAAATGTCCCTACCCCTCGTTGTTGAACAGCGCCGTTTTTCACACGATAGTCTCTACAAACTTCGATGGAAGCCATTTCTTCTTTGTTTCACAGGGTTTACAGGACTCCACGTCGATGAGAACCAGCAAAATGCCCACATCAAGCCGAACTGCTCCCAAAACGCTTCAAAAAGAATCGCTGAAATACGACACGATAAACCTGCTACATGGTATTTTTCGGATTCAAAATTCTATCATATCCAAGTTCCCCAGCGCCCTTTTGGAAAAAAAACTATATTCCGGTGCTTCCACACTTGTTCCAATGGAAAAAACTATTTCCGGTGTTCGCTTTTTCACACTGTCCAACATTTCCTTACACCTGGGTAATGTTACAGAGAATCTAGTGGCCTCTCCACGAAAGCTGGATACACACACGCAAAACTGAGAAGCTACAAATGAGGGAAATTCACAGAAAAGATGCCAATTCAACTCTGCAAAGTCTAGTTTCCCTACAAAAAACACTCTGCTGCAGAGCTCTTTATGCGAAAAAAAAACTTCAAAAACACTTCCAGACCTACAGGAAATGATCTCATGATTTGCAGTTAAGGAATGCAGCATAGAAATTAGATAATAGCCACTGAAAATGAAGAACCAATTGGAACGGAAATTGAGAGTCAACGAGCGGAAAAGGGTCCGTCAGTCACTACGTCTGCACTTATTCAAGGAATAACGGAAAACGTAATTACCCACATTACGCAATTTTCACCCTATCTGCCCGAAAACGAAGATTGACATCTATTACGTTAGATACTGTATAATAAAGAATTGCAGGAGTGAAGACCACTTCCCCCATTTATTCCGTTTACTCTATTACCATACGTTCTAGAAGGAAAGAGAAAAACGTACCACATTTCCCTTACGATTCGTTGTGCGTCACGTAGCATACCGAGTAAGAATTCTGAACGAAAATTGAGTTCGTCCGTTCGAATCGACTGCGCAAGGAATTTACACTTCCATACATCTCGATCAATAAGCAGCTGATCGACTTGTTCGTCCTCGTGGGTCAGCTTAAATGGTAAAGTCTCCGCCGTTTATCCATCATTTTTTTGGAGTGACACGCATGCTACTTTTGTTCGGAAGCGTAGTGAATTGTTGAATTCCACATGGCCTATACAATAACTTTGGAGGCAAGTTGATGTTTTAAACCCTTTCAGACAAATATGGTACCAATAAAACGCCTCCGAAGGGGAGGAGTTTGGCGGCAGGCGGCATAACGTTGGGGATTCCTCAACAGAGAAGGCGCATTTGGTTTCTGGGCGAGAGGCGATCGTATTTGGTGTGATAAAATTTTTTTGATAGTTGATTTTCCTTGCTTCACGGAAGGTACAAGGGGAGGGGGCATATTTGCTCGTATTAGCAGGGGAAGTGTCGTATGTGCCTTTCGAGAAAATCTGCGGCGTTGAGAAAACTTTTTCTCGATCATTGTTTTCGCCGTTTTTCCTGTTTCATATGTGTTATATACACATACCGCCCCTTCTGTCCCTCGATAGAAAAGCTTTGGGTAAAAAGTAGAGAAATCTTTGGGGAATTTCGAAACCGATAGCAAAATGGGTAGGAAAGTGTTAGGTAGGATGGGCAAGGGGGGGGCGTATTTTCCCGCGGTTTTCCCCACTTCACATATGTATAGATAGTCCCCCGCCCTTCGACAGCTCGATAGTATCAGAGGAGGAAGCTAGAGGGGGATAGTTCAAGCCACCCTTTAGGGGGAGGGGGCGTACGGACTCAATCGAAATCCCCAACAATGGTGTTCCCTGCTTGTCTGCTTTGGGCGGTAGCCGAGCCCGGATCTGACCTACGGAGGGCGCGTTGAACATGCCATTTGCCACTACATCATCTCTGCCGTGGGTATAAAATCATAAAATGACACACTTTTCATTCATGCATGAAGGAAAATTCAGTAGAGAACTAAAAATATAGTATGCCACATTTGCTGCGAATAGGTCGTGTCAGGCGGGATGGGTTCGGCGCGGCGCCAAACCTGTTCTCTAACAAAATAGAATAGAATAGAATAGAAGTAGAATAAACAGAAATAGAAACAAGTGATGAGCGGATGAGTTAGGGGAAAAGGGTTTGGCGCCGTCAAACCCATCCCGCCCAACACGCCCTTTCACCTGCAGCGAACAAGACTGCACACAATGATGAGGTGAGGGTAATGGCGTTCACGTATGAACCATAAGGTGCTGTGTGGCACGTTTGTGAAGAAAACAGCAGAACTATTGAAAAAAATTAACTAAAGACCCCTCCGTTTTGAACATCGATCAAGTTTCCATCGTTCGGACGACTTCTCGACGAGGATGGAATGGCTCATCCCTTGCTCTAGCTATACTGATATATTCGTAAATCAGGAAGGAATATTTTCAGGACAACAGACGCACCGAGGAGTGTGAAATCTTTTTTTAATCCCGTTTATCCCACTAGTAGCCTAGTGCTGGCTGCGAGGATTTTCTCCCAGGATACCAGTCAACAGGGAAGCCTCCCTCCTCCTTCACTCTTTTCCTTCTTTCCTACTCTCTTCCCTCTTCCTTATTTTCCTTCCTTCAAATGCCTATGCGAGGATTTAGTAGAGAAAAAGCATGAAAAACCGCACTGCCTCCATATAATGTATCCCCCGAAGACTGAGAGGAGATAGTGATAGAGGATTCTGTTTCGAGACGAATATCTCCCTTGAGAGGACGTACAGCACGCGACCCCAAAACACTCGCTGTGCGGAGAACCCTTGGGTTGAGTACGTTGAAACCCTCTGAGGTCATTGTCACGCATTTTCTCATGACAAGAGCGGCTTACTCTAGTTAACTGTGAAATTGTGTGCCTTTAAACCCACATAGGCAGAAAAGACCACTTACCCTCTCTACGTATTCTTCAACTCGATGCGCCAAACGAATTTTATCCTCGGTCAGCGCTTCAACTTGTCCTTGCAGTTCGTCACTAATTGTTGCCACCATTAGACGTTTCAATTCGGCATTGAGCTTGCGCTCTATGTCTAATTCGGACTTAACCTCGGCCAACTCCTTCTCTAGAAGCATCTCCTGAAACAGGCACGGTCAACAAAACCTAACACTACGTTTTCATTTGTTTGTAAAAAATTTATAAATGATCCATTTGTTAGGTTATTTCTGACTGGCGAACTAACGAGTGATTTAGAGCAAATGTCAGAGCTCAACAGCTACAATAACTACGATCTTGGGCCTAGGCGTTTATACTTCGGAAGTCCAGCGATTCAGTCGCGCGACTGCTATCAACTCGCGCTCTTCAGCTAATCGCTGGCCGCTGCAACCATCGGAAGAAGGTCTATCAAGCATAGGGTCAGACCGACAGTCGCACCTCGCAATCACGTGACTGAACCGTTCGAGTCGCCAAGAATGAAGACAGTTCCAAGGGAAAAGCTAGACAGTCCAAGAAAAAAATCTAGAGAGATCCCATCGGGTTGAACTGTGGTTTTCTTACATAAGAGCTATCTTTAAGCAATGCAGTACACTATCGCAAGAAAGTCTATGAAACTTGATAATGCACCCTTACCTTTTCGGACCGAGTACGATCCTCTTCCTTCGAACGATTCTTTCGAGTGTCAACTAATTGTTCGCCACTCACATCGCGTTTGTTAAAATTCTCGTCGAGTAAATTCATCGAATATGGTATCAGTTTCGGTATGCCTACTGGTGGCTCACCTTTTCTGAAACATGCCGTTTAGGAATATTAACGTTACAGGCAATACGTTTGCGCCCACTGAAACATGCTGCTTCCATTACTGCATTACTACGTGAGACTTGTCTGAAGGGTATGGTACTCTCACCACTGGCCACATCTAAGCTCTGTCCATACATGATGCAATTAGATAATAATCCGCGAGAACTGCAGCAGAGTAGCATCGTAATACGAAGCGCGAACGATCGTGTACATATCCTTTGCGACGCAATTGAGGTTGATGTGGCAGTTCAAAGGAACTCATGTTTATACCCTTAAGATTAAGCGGGGAGCAATGACAGTAATAAATAGATTATATAGTTTATCATACAAATAGAAAGGAAAACCTCACGAGTTTCTACTCGAAGACGGTTTGAAGAGATAGTAGTTTAGTATATGGAATGTGGCAGGCTGACTGCGTACCATTCACATCATGAATCCGCCTTATGCCAGTACTTTAGGGCCCACACTTACGGAGATTTTAGCCACATACGTGGAGAGAGCGAGACATATTGAGACCGACTTCACTCCACCACCAAGAGTTCAACAGGTTTAACCAAAGCTTGTAAATTATAATAGCGCGAAAGCAGCGAAAGGCCAAAATGCCACTGCACTCCGCCTCCCCCCCTCCTCCGTCGCCGAAGTACGGCTCCCTTTCTACGACTGTCTACGTAAAAAAAGTCTTGCTAACTTTTTTACAAATCCATCCAATTCCGAAGTTCGAGCTCTCAAAAATATGAGTACGTTCCTTTCCATTGCATTCGATTTACTCCAGCGGTTCTTGGCCGCAAAAAAAAGGCGGCCTATTAGGAAGCATAAAACGAAGAAGACCTACATTTCACATCTGAAAACAATTTCTCAGAGTGAACAATGCGAGAAGTTCAAATGAGCTCAGATCCAAGAGCCAGAGATATTTATTTGCCACCCGATTCAGAGATTACGCCCGATAGATCGTACATCGTTTTCAACCTTCAAAATGGTCTGCCTAGAAAACGTAAGTGCACCTAGGACGCTCTGGTGATCGTATGTCCCTGAGTTGGCTCCAAATACGGCGTCAATTGAGCGAGTCATGGAACATACTGATTACGCATCCTCAGATACATACATTTAAAGCACACGGTTGCCCAGGCTGTTTCCATTAATGTGCGCCCGCCTAGTGGAGAGCGACTGCTAGACACGAGCTGGCGCCGCGCCAAAACTCACATACGCAGGAACGCCTTACATGACGTACCGATAGCAGCAGTAATTATGGCGCAGGATGGTTTGCACGCGGGATATTCAAATTTGAGACAACTGGTCTTTTGTTAGACAAATAATTATAACAACTGTTCCAGAGGGAAAGCGTCTCACCAAAAGCGCAGCCGCCACGTTCAAATAAATGAACATGCCACCCGCGCCTCAAGTATTTGGGGATTTGGGTAAACTCATTACTTAGTTTGATGGTCCTTTAGACAGTGGGAATCGCAGTGAGTGGAAACCACAGCCATTCCATAACCCACGATTCCTGGAGATTAATCACAAAACGGCGAGAAGGGCAGCAAGGTACCAGCGGATACATAATAAGTAACTTCGCTATGCTCAGTCATCATACTCGATTTCTGTTCGCTCGGTATTTCCATTTTTCAGCTTGGCATGCGACCATAACAAACACACAGGAGACAGTTATCACAAGAGTGCTGAGGCAAAAGTCAGCCCTCGAACAAGACTGGAACCCACATATCCTGCTTACCGGTCGGTCGGTTGGGTTATCCATTACGCTGCCGGGACCGCTGAAAACAGCTCTAAAACATGTTAAAGCCTTTAGCCTTGCGGTTCACTGCAGATTCCGGCTCACCATGTTAGATGTGTGAGTGCTTGAAGGCAATGGCATGAAAAGCCATTAAGCTGAGAGGGTAAGAGCGACAGCGGTAGCGTAATGGATAACGCAACCGCCCGGTAAGCGGGCGCGGGTTCGATTCCCGTCCGAAGTCTGACTTTTGTCCATAACCAGCACCTTTGTGATAACTTTCGGAGCGCGCACTGTGGCGTTAAACAGCAGTCATCACACTTCGAAAAAAAAAGCAAATCAGAAAATAGCTTTGCTAAAAAAGGATGTTAACTTTTGAAAAAGCTGAGAGAAATATTAGCGAAAATCCCATACCTATCAGCACTCGGAGCGGCTCTATACGGTTCCCACGGCACAAATCGCGGTTTCTTCATTTTCGTGGACTCTTGCGACTTCTCTCCGTCGTTTGCCATCCTATGCACAGAAACCTTCTCGTCGTCGGCCGTGTTCGTGGATGCAAAGTCGTGGTCATGTGCATGATAGAGATCTATGAGATCCATAATGGTCGTCGCCGCGCGTTAACGCCGCTCCACTAACGGCGGCACGTGTGATGTAAGCCAACGCCTGAAGAAACGACGTTAGTATTTCATTATCTAAGCAGCATCGATCCGTGATGTATGACAAAGCAAGCTAGCAACGAAAAAATTCAAATCTTGCAAAATGCTGCTATCTCTGAGTCCCACTGAGATGTCCAGTGCAGCCTTGAAGCTCTTGCATTTCACTGAACCTTCTTCAATGAAAATATAATAAGAACTTCATAAAAAGACACAAATCTCATCATGCAAACGAGGTTCAGAAAAAGAACAGCTGAGATCTATCCTGAGGAAAATGGATGGTGTTGGGCTAGGAGGGCCATTTTGCACTTTCGCAAGTTCCTTTTGTTAGTTCATGTTAACAGGTATCTAAATTTTGGTGAGGTTTGTGAACTCATGTGAAGTTGCAAAATTGTTCGAATGAGCCATTCTAGTCACAATAATTAACAGGTTTTCACAGGGCGGCTGTAAAAGTCCAAGTGAGTCGATTCAATGCCACCACCAAGCCGAATTGCACGGAAAATTGAATTTGAGAAGATAAGAGGATGAAGATTCAGTCCAAGAAACTGAATATGTCCGGGTGTTTTGAAGGTCGGCTGCACACTTAAGAGGCTAGGCTGTGTTTATACTTGATATTGATCTAGCAAACACCAGCGTCCACCCACGTTTGCTAGCGTTCACTATGGTCCAGGAGTGGAGAGCATCGGGAAGTAGGAGGGTAGCACAGCTGGATTAAGCATCGTGAAACTAAGGCGTGTGCAACTGCACCACACCCTACAAAGACGGTTACGGGGCACATGTCAACCAGACGTGCTCTCGCTGCGAGGGTCCAGGGGTATTTTATCGAGGCATCTACCAGTCCAGTAGTTGAAGGGAGAAGGGAGGAGGAGGGATCAGAGAAGGAAGGAAGGAAAAGAAGGAAGGAGGAAGAAAAAAGGAAAGAGAGAGAGACTTCCCAGGTTGACAACTGCTCTGAGACGTACCGCATGACCCTGTGATTTTGCACTTGCATGGTGCGGTTGCACACTCCGCAAGTTCACGCCTAATCCAGCAGTCTGCTACTATCCTACTTCCCCATACTCTCTACTATCTACTATCCTACTTCTCCACTCCTGGACGCTGGCGTTCGCTAGATCGATACCAATACTTCCCTAATCGCTGTTGCTGGCGTTCACTCGAAAGCTGCCTAACGCTGGTGGACGCTGCCGCAAAGTAGGACTCAGCCTCACACTCGGCGAAATGTTCTGTACGCACAGGTCTGAAATGGCGTCTTAAACAACATGTTAATAATAACACATAAATAATTTATCACCACCATTAATTTTCACAGAAGTTAGTCTATAAATTTCATTCTAGTAAAAAGGAATATTTTGATGCAGCAGGACAGGGTGTTCACTCCATATCCCGGAAATGAAGGAGGTGTGGCTGAGTACAATTGTAATAATGTATTTGTCCAGCACAAGAAAATGTGACAGTCGTCCCAAATGCGCGCATCCCATAAAAAAACATCCTACGCCGTGCTCAACAAATTCACACAGCTAGGCCCTACACTTTTGTGGAAAATGGAGTGTAGCTCAACACATCCGACTTGAGGAGAGACGAGAAGAGATTTCTCACCACCGGGAGACGGCCAAGAGGATCGTAATTTGCCGCTCCGCCGCGCGCGGCGATGGGCGCGGCGTTTTCTTAACTCGTGTTAACCTGTCGATTGGAGCCCTGGACTTCATGTAGACCCCTTCATCGTAGACATTCATGGCTATTTTCAGTTCTGCATTGCCTGTTGTCGCCATCTACTACCTGGAACACCGTTATTTGCGGGCGCGACGAATAAGGCTGCGTTTATACTTTGCGGCAGCGTAGCGTAGCGCTTCCAGCGTACGCCAGCGGCAGTGCCGGGGAGAGGATGGATATCGATCTAGCGTTCCCAGCGTCACCAGCGTAACGCTAGCGTACGCGTTTCGCCAGCGTTTCACCAGCGTTTTGCTGGCGTTTGCAGCGGCAGGGGAGTAGAGACTATGTGGCCGTAAGAGACGCGCAATCGATGTGTATTGTAGAGACTGAGGGCGAGTGAGAGACGCGCAATCGATGTGTTTTGTACCTCCAGCTCTCCCATAGTCTCTACTCCC